TTCTTCCTGTGTTCAATACTTTTTTCCCTGTGCCATTCTAGATTATTATTACTTCATTTCTGGACATTTATGGTTTGATTTCTTTGTATGTATGGATCACTTGGTTGTTACCGACATCTGGTGAAAATTTCATGTCATTAGCGCCTCTAATAATATATTTACTGAGAAAAATGTTGACGTGTTCAATATTTATTTTACCCGCTGTAACAGGCTGTTGTTAGTGTGGTGGGTGGCCATATTCTTTGTAATGAATTAATATTATAAATCTAAAAGCTGCCACAAATATATTGTCAAACTACATTGTCTGGTCAAAATTAAAAAAAAGTTGTCACCAAAAAAAAAAAGGTCACACGCTAATATTTCGTTAGACCGACTTTAGCTTTGATTACGGCACTCATCCACTTTGGCATTGTTTTGATAAGCTTCTGCAGTGTCACCAGATTTATTTCCATCCATTGTTACATAAATTTTTCTCCAAGATCTTGCATTGATGATGGTAGAGTATGACCTTCTCTGGCGCATCCCAAAGATTCTCATGGACTCTGTGGAGTCAATCCATGTATAACTAGAAGCACTCGGAGAGTGCAAACCTCTACGAAGACCAATTTCCCCCATCCTGTAAGAGTTAATACGCAAAAGCAGAGATGGAAACACATATTTTATCCCCTTGTATGAGTTTGTTATGGTTTGACTCTCTTTATAAAGTGCTTCCTGGCTACCCCCGTCTCCAAACTTTGAGGCCCGGCAGCTCTCTGTTTACAAGCCTAGTAGAGACAAACTGTTTTGATTGGTTGTTTCGGAAATGTGGTGTGTTAGGTTTCATGGTGCAGTCACGCACTTCCTGGTCACAAAATGTTCTCTAAATGCGCACATTATGGCCAAAATCATCATCATTAAATCTGGTTTTAACATTACTTTTATAAAGTTTGAAGTCCGTGCTGCCCAATCCAGCTCACTTATTTTTAACAGAAGCCCTGTGAAAGCATCACAGCTTTGCCGATCTCAGAGTGTTAAAAGAAAAAAAATCCTGTATCCGCATCGTGATCCGGAACATCACCAAAATTTAAAGGTGTGTTCCTTGGCCCAGTACACACATGCGGTAAAAATGTCATGACAATCAGTCCACAAGTTTTTGAGTAATGTTGTCCACAGACAGACCGACAGAACAACAGACAGACATACGCGACTGAAAACATTACCTCCTTGGCGGAGATAAAAATGATGTCTCACGCTCCCTGAACTACTCTTTTACAATAAGAGCCTGAATCACTCTTTCACAATAAGAGCCTGATTAAGGGGAGTGGTGGTGCAGAGGTTAGAGAAGATGAGTCTGTGATTGGAAGGTTGCTGGTTCAACTCTCTAAACCAACCAGTCCCACTTTGGGCCCTTGAGCAAGGCAAACCCCTCAGCTGCTCCCCGGGCGCTGTAATGGGTCCATGTGTGTGTTCACATGTGAGAATTAATTTCCCCTATGCGGAAAGGCTAAAAAAATACTTTAAAAATCTGAATCCTGACATTGTTATCTTGGAATATGCCTGTTCCATAAGGGAAGAATCAATCCATTGATGGAATAACAAACACACACACACACACACACACACACACACACACACACACACACACA